ACTCCAGTCAACTTCCCATCAAATAAAAAAAAAAATTCCAGTCAATTTGCCTTCACGGTTCCGGACCATTTCACGCGCAAGTTCTGATAATGGACCATTTCAAATAATAAAATAATTTTAGTAATTTTATTATAGATTATTTTTTAATAAAATAAAAATTAAGTCGGGTTTCCTTCTTCCTCCACATCCATTCTGGACCATTTATCGCGCAAGTTCTGATGTCTCTGAGCTCTAAAAACACTGAAAAAAGGGAAAATTGTTCATGGTTTCTGTGATCTGATTTATAGACCCATTTGGTTTTGGTCCGCCATGAGAGGATCCTCCCATCACACGAGCTATCTGATCAAGATCTTCATCGTTATTACAGCTTCAGCCGGAGAACTCCTCCCATGTCTTGTCCGTTCAGCAGTTGTCGAGGATGATGTCAAGTGTCTGAAGGGATTGAATAACTCGCTCAGTGACCCAGAAGGAAAGCTGAGCTCGTGGAATTTCTCGAACTCGACGGTCGGTTTTATCTGCCAATTTGTCGGAGTCAGCTGCTGGAACGAACAGGAGAATCGGATATACAACCTTCAACTTCGAGACATGCAGCTGTCGGGACAGGTTCCCGATTCCTTAAAGTACTGTCGGAGTTTGCAGACGTTGGATCTATCCGGCAACAACCTATCGGGTCTGATCCCGGCAGATATATGTTCCTGGGTGCCTTATTTGGTAGTTCTCGACCTATCAATCAATGAATTTTGGGGCCCGATTCCGCCTGGCCTTAGCAACTGCACTTACTTGAATAAGTTGATTCTGTCAAACAATCGTCTCTACGGGCAAATTCCGTACCAATTATCCAGTTTGGGGAGGTTGAAGACGTTTTCTGTGGCGAATAACGAGCTGACGGGGAATATTCCGCCGTTTCTTGATAGGTATGAGGCGGCGGATTTTGAAGGTAACGATGGACTCTGTGGCGAGCCGCTTCGGAAGTGCGGTGCGTTGAGCAAGAAGAGACTGGCGATTATAATTGCGGCGGGGCTGTTCTTTGCGGCCTCAATTATAATTTTGTTATACGG